TATTCCTTACGGACGAATTATAAGAATTTTTCCTAAATTCTATTTCGCTTTTAATTATCTTCGTAGGTAAGCCTTACGGAGAACGCTCGCTACGAAGTAACGATTTTATTATTAATTTTTGAAAGCGCTTATAAAACGAGTTAGAAATCCGTAATATTTTCGTAGGTTCAATTATTTATTTCTAAACCCTTAATCTAATCTTCGATTTCAGTACTAATATTATTCGGTTATAAAATATATACGTTATGAATAGGTATTCAAAAGTAAGTCGATTCCTTATCCTCCTTTTTTCTTATTAGGTTTATTATTATTTTATATAATTTAAAGTATGTTTTTGAAAATTAGGGAGTTATTTCTTCAATTAAAGGGTTAATTTTCTTCGGGCGCAATTAATATCCGCGCAAATATTCCAAACGATCATTATTAATTTTCGAAGACCGAAGCGAACCATTAATTAAACGTCGCGAATTCCCTAAAGAAGATTAGCATTAAATTATTCAGGACGATTCTACAAACAGGAGTTTAAATTATCAATCCGTCGGCCCGGATTTCCTTATAAGTAAGTAGGAACCTTTATAGCAGTATATTAGGATAATTAAACAATAATAAACAATATTTTTTTTTGAATACTCTAAAGAATATTCTCTACATTAATATAAATTATAAGAATAGTAGGCGCGAAATGTACGCGAATTTTTAAAGAGGTAGCGTTCCAATTTTTTAATTCTACGATATTTCGCGCAAAGAAACCCCTTCGAATTTAAACAAAAATTAATTTTAATTATAATCGTTAATAATAGGTATATTAGTAGTAATATTAATAAAGGACTCTTTAATTTATATAATCGGAGGAATGTCCCCGTCGGTCGGATATATATTAGTATTTTTATAATTTTAAATTTCATTATTATTAACATTACTCTGAACTTTTTCGGCGTTAGAAATATTTTCGCCCGATTATTTTAAAATACCCTATTTAATTACAAATACTTCCGGTATTACTTCCTATTCTAAAGAACGGTTTTAGCGGCGTACGGCTATACCTCTTATATAAGTATTTTTTTTCAGGTATTAACTATATTCCCGGCCTTTATAGACGATATTTTAAAGGTTAAAGAATTATAAAATTATAGTATAATAGGGTAAGAATATATTTAATATATAATAGTAAATTTATTCCAAAAGGTAAACTTTAATTTGGCTAGTAAAGAATATCCGGTTAGGCTATAAGGGTTTTTACCTTATATACGAACCTTTAGTAGGCACCGGATCTAGCGCCCGGCCTCCGACCGTACGCCTCTATCATTATCGCACCTATTCTATTATTTATTATAATAACCCCCTCGCCCCGCCTTATCGCTCTTATCAGTTCGTTATAACGTTCCGCTCTTCGGGCCTAGTTCCTAGGCCCTTCGGCACGATAACCTTACAATACAGTATTATTTATATATAAAAAAAAGGAGGTTAGTTAATTAGATTTCTAGAGGATAAAAGAAAGTAATTATATTTATGAGGATAATAATAAACGATTATATTTTTACGTATTTTTAATATTAGATTATCGAATATCCCTACCCTTTTATATTTATATATAACCGTTTATTTTACTTATTATATATTTGGATTTGAATTTTTATTTTTAAGAGCGGTAGGTAGATTATATATATTTATATAATTGGTTTAAAGAGGAGAGGCGGTTTTTAAGGAGATATTTAATGACTTTGTGTATAAATTTGATTCGGCTAGTTGCTTTAATGCTAAAGTTTTTATATTTTGAGACGGTGTGATTACTAAATTCGTTAATTTATAGGAGGTAATATTTGTAAAGGTAAGCGAGGAGAGTTAGAAAGTATTAGTAAAAAAGGTATATAATATATTATAGAAAGGAAGGGGGATAATATACGAATTTATTATTTAAATTTATAGATTAGTAAATTCTATATTTGTTTGAAGTAATCCTTATCATTAGTATAAACTATTTATTTCTAAGCTTTTTAGAAGCTTTTACATAAATTTCAGTAGAATTAATAGGTGGGGTTGAAGGTTAATATATTATAATAGTATAGAGCGATAGTTTTAATTATTAGTTCGTTAATTATTTTATAAATTTTTTGCCTATCGTTGGGTTATTAGGTAAGGTAGTTGGCGGTGGCAGTATTGTTAATTTCTTCCGGGTTGTTTTCCTTTGCGCTGTTATTAATGTATTTGTCCTCTTTGTTAGTATTATTATTATTAGTTTTATTATTATTAGTCGCCGCGGGACTTCGGTATAATAGGGGGTTAGGATTATAGTTATTTAAATTTTAAATAGTTGGCGGAAGATTTAATAGGTTAGTATTGGGGGTAGGATTATTATTGTTATTGCTGCTATTTGGGGGTGGTTGTATTTATTTCTCTTTAATGTAGTAGTTTACGTTCTTTATGATGTGCTATATATAGAGTTGGTATGGTACGTTTGGGTAGGTGGTAATGGCGGCCTTTTTGAACCCTTTATTAAAATTAGTAATAAGTATTGTAGGGTTGGGAATATTGTAATTCTTTTGAAACTTTTTAAGGTAATTGAATTGTTATTCGAAATCTTTTTACTTTTCTCCGTTCGAGAGATTGAAAGTTACGTGAAAGTTATAGTTTAGTATATCAACACTAGTTATGTTGAAGAGGGGAAGGTTGAAGTGGTTAATTTGTAAAGAAAAAAAAGGGGTTAATTAATTAGATCCTATAAGAGTAATTAAGTTAGAGAGTAGTTAAATTAATGAGGGTAATAATACTTTATATATATTATTGATTAGTAAGATATAAGGGTTTTTCTCTTATATTTCTATATATTAGTCGAAAGTTTAGAATATTCGTAGATCCTTTATTCGTTAGGGAAGTAAGAATTATAATTAATAAAGTGTTTGATATTATAAAGGTTCTTATATTACTCTAGTAAGTCGATGATTATTTTAGTCGAAGTATAAGGACTATACTTTATCCGTCGAATATATTGTTGAATATTTAATACTTTTTTAGTTATAATAGGGATTCGAAAGTTACGTAGCTCTATTATTAGATTGTTATAGTTAATACGTTAAATAGCAGCGGTATTTTCTCTATTTAATTCCTTATTTAAAATACTGTTTAAATAATAAGTAATTTGACGCGTAATTATCTTGGCGATCCTAGATAATCTTTTGATAGCGATGTTAATAGTTTTTTTATAGTTACGACGAACCTATTATCGATAGACGACGTTATTAGCGAAGTTAGTTATATTAAGGTCGTAAATGTAGTTGTTATTAATTTTTTTAGTAAATTATTAGTTATTCTACCTTCTTTATAATACGATTTTTACCTGGTATAGGTAGTCGATACGTTTCGAGCCCTTATTTCGAACGTTTTATCCGTTAGATATATAAGTGCGACTATATATATAATAATAGTTAATACGTATAATGGCGCCCTCGTTTCCCTTCTTCTTATTCTTAATATTGCTTCGCGATATGATTATGAAGTTTTGTTGTACGGCGTGGTTTTGTAAGGAGTTGAAAGTAGTAATTTTATTATTGTAATTAAACGAGGTAAATAATGGTTAGGTTGGTATTAGTATTAGAAATTGCTATTTAATAGCGGCGTGCTCGTTAGGAGATTGGAGTGATTGCGTTCTTATTCGCTCGCGGGGACGGCGGATTAATAGCGATTAAAATTCGGTAAGGGGAGTCGTGCTCCTGTCGGGAGTGATTGTTTGAGATAGATTTCTCGGATTTAATAGTATTTTACTAATGATTTTGCCTAAATTTCGTTAGCGCTAGTTATTTTGGTCGGTTGGGCTGGAAGTTTGATTTATTAGACGAATACGCGATGTGCGGAGGGCGGGCGGGCGGTATATTAATAAATATTACGACGTCGAGGATACTATATTAAATGATAATAAAGATAAGAGATAATCGTTGTAAACGGTTGCTTAATACTAAGGTAAGGTCTTGTGATAGCTTTATTCAATTGTATAAGACTAATTATCGTTAATATATAGCGCGACGGTGGCGGCGGTTGGGTAGCGATGTGTACGTTGTATACGGTGTGCTGGGCTGGGCTGGGCTGGGCGGTTGGGCTTATTCAGCGATAAAAGTGGGTTTATACTAGCCACGTAGCATTTTCATACTAGCTATGTAGCCTTTGCGCATCTGTTCCTGACTGTCAGTCGCTTAGCTCCGGCGCCTCATCAAGCGCCCTACGCCATCCCCATGCAGGGGCACTTCGCGAAGTCATCGTTTCTCGAGATCCAGTCCGTTGGTACCTCGCACGACCTCCCAAGCCGTCTTGCCGCTGAAAAGCAGCTTACGGTGGAACCTTATTCAGCCTCCCTTGCTGGTCAAAGTCAACCTCTTCAGACATTCAATATTCCAAAGATTCATGCGAGGTCTTTTCTCGAACTTCAAATCTCATCGTCGAGGCCGTGTTGCCAAGAGTCGAGAACATGGTTTGATTGTCTCTGGCAAACGCCCCCCATCAAACCTGCGATTCCCCGATGTTGTCCCACATGTCACCATGCAGCCCTACAGTCCAGGTACGGAGATACCAACAACGGCAATAAGCGTGGGAATGAAACATTTAATGGAAACAGACGCAGTAATACCTCTGGGTTTTGCCTACTCCTTAACAACATCACTTCGAGGGTGATGTCTCGGCCGGTGAGGCCGTTGACCTGTTCCACAAGATGCATTGTTTCCAGTTTCCAGTTTACTTGCACAACACCCATCTCGATTTGTGATCCTACAACAAAGGCATTGCACGAACTAAAGACATGAATTCCAGAATCGAATCCGCTGTGTTATCCCCTCAAGTATGTACCTCCATCCCGCACTTGTCAAGCAAAGAACACCCTGATTTGCAGCCGTCTTCCTTCTCCCACCTTTCCGATTGCGAAACCGACCATCAACTTCCATGTGGCGAAGACGAACGTCCAGATCTAGATCTGTGTTCTTGGTGCCCCTCACATGACGTTTACCCTCTCACAAAGTCTAACCCTCCCAAGTGTAGTTGCCACCCATGTTGAGGAGCCAGATCAAGCTGTTGAACTCGACATCGAGGCTCTTGATCTGCGCATATCCCTCACGCTTGGTGGTGCCGATGATGGTGATGCCCTTGCTAGGGAGGTTGGCAGCGCCAAACGTGGCCAGCGGAGCGCGACGGCTTCGCAGTCAACGGCATCGATGCTGTCGACGACGACGGGGAAGGGCGGGTTCGCGTTCTGCGCCGCCATGAAGATCTCCTTGGTCGCAAAGGTCGGCTGCCCGAGGGGCGTGAAGATGAAGGTGTTGATGCTATCGGATCGGTCGACAAAGTCCGAGGCGCAGTACTTGGCGCAAACCTCGTCCGTGTAGTTGGCGATCAGTTGGACGTAGATGTCCACGATCTCTTTGGCTTCGGCCCTGGTCAGGCATGCACCCTCTTGACGGGGAGCAATGGCCGAGTTGAGTGAGGAGGGGATTGCCAGTGCCGAGCTGGCAAAGGCGGCGTTAGCAAGAACTGAAAAGCGCATTTTTGTTTGAGGAGCTTGAAGTGCTTGTTTCGTTGTGAGTGCAAGGTTGGCGATGCTCAGCTTCGATGGCCGACATCACCACTTCCTTCGCGACGACTTCCCATCTCTTTATACTCCTCGAAACCCCTTCCTCGATACGCCTTCGTAGTTTTCGAGCTTTGAGGTCGAGGCCGGGCGTGAAGTGAAGGCGGTACCGAAAACCCGGCTATTGTGCGGTTGCTGTCCCAGCTTGCGGGCTTGATATTGCACTGCATTCATCCAGGCGACTCCGGCCTTGGGTTAATAACCATCTTGCGGACGTCCGGTGCCAAGACTGCTACCTCCGTCCTGAAGCGACTGTCCTGACAATTCCGATCATCTATAGTTCTAGACAATATGGCAACCTTCTATATGGAATACTAAGAGCATTCCAGCTTGGGGAAACACCGTACCTTGTCCATAACATAGGTGAAGCAATTTGGACCTAGGAAGCTTCCCTTCATGAAGTTACAATTGTTCCTGCATGTTAGATGAGATCCGGTCCTCAAAGTAACAGTCCCCGCCTGCCCGCCTAGGGATTTAACAAGGGCGCGGCTGGACTTCCCGTTGCTTACTTGCGATCTTGATTCTCAACATGAAATTCTCACGGACCTGACAGACCCGCCGGACATACGCGGGGATCACGGGGCTTGGCGACGACGGAAGTTCTCCCCGTTTTCTCAGGGCGACCTTCTGGATATCACTGTTGCATGCGGTGAATCTTATGAAATGCTTTGGGGAATTGAAGTCGGCAGGTTGTGTTATTGTCTGGTCTTCCATCTTTGGATTTCAATATGTCGAGCAACATATGTAGTTCATATGCACCTGAAAATCAGGATAACTTGCTCTTCTTTCTTTCTTTCTCGAACTCTCTTGCTCCCCACTGGCAACTTTGAAAACTTCGCGAGCCGGTTCGTGACAAGTTATCTTCGCATTCGTTCGTAAGTGGGGCCCTAATGGCCTTACAAGTAAACGCATCAGCACCAGACCGAGAGATCAACAAGTATTTCTTCAGCCCTAAATGAGGGGCTTAAAAAATTCCAGTGATTTTTTGTTATATTTTGTCTATAAAATGCGACTAGCCCCCTTCAGTGATTTTCAGTAGTTATACCATACTGTGCTGGGTTGACTTTATGGCTTGACTTGTTACGTCACTGCGCATTATTGCCTTCACAAATGTGGACGGAAAGCCGAACCTCATTTTACTTTCCGGGCTCCCGGGGAATGCGGTGTAGCTCAGGAGTTTGGTTTTAACTCTTTCCATTTCATCGAAGATCCTCACCAAGATATTAGATCTCAAATACAAGACATTGTTGATTTTCCTAGCTGGTTTTCCCCCCTATGAAATTGTTCGATTCTTATCGTGCTTGATCTAATCTAGCCAAGAGAATAACCTCAACCGCATCCATCCCAAAGAAACATTCAGTTATACGACTTGAAAAGTTTCCAGAAGCTCGAGTCAAGTCAGACGAACAGACATTTCTATATGTAAGAGATCATGGATTGAATAGATGTGTCTCTTTCTCCGACAAAATAGCGCAACCATATCATCACAATCTGCGCGCTCGGAACTTTTATATGCATCTCTCTGACGAGTTCATCCCAGTTGTACAACGTCACGCAAGCTCAGCTCAGGGGTAGGCTCAGGCGAGTAAGAATCGCCTGTTCTCCCAAGACAGTCTGATACTCACAGCCAGCTGGTCTTGAAAAAGACGAGAGAGGGGACTTCCATGTCCAGCTACCTCGAGACGAGAGCATATGCTCTACCGCATAAGGCTGCTACGGTTCCCATAGTATTACCATCAACCCGGCGGAACGGTCGGATCGACACAGTCAAGATGGTCAAGATGGGGAATCTCACCATCCGCAACCTAACCATCACGCCGCTCGAGCTGAAGGAAGTGGAGCGCCACGAGGACCCTACCAAGGCTCGCAAGCCGAACGGGTTGGCGAAGATCACGGCGCGCATCACCGGCAAATCCAACAAATCGTCTCCTCCAGCACCAACCGCCGCCGCCGCAACGGACAACCTCAACGGTGCGGCCAAGGAGCCAGGGGCAGCCAGCAAGCAAGACATCACCGATGTCCATATCCAGCCCTTCTCCGAACATGAGACCTCGATCCCACTACCCGATGCCTCCAAAGGCGAATCCCTCCGCCTCACCTTCTCCGAGCCTGGTACCCCATACACCTACTCCGTCTCCATCCCTGGCCCATCACCGCGGAGCATCGTCATGAAAGCCAACCCTCCACCGCAAGATCAAAACCAAGACCAACAAGACCAACAAGACCAACAAGTTCCCCCATCCGACCGCGAATTCACCCTCATCTACATGCCCCACCACTCCTTCCTCGCCATCTTCAGCAGCGCCCACCTCAACCGCTGGATGGCCGAGCTCGATCCGTCCTACCCCTTATCGGCCCTCAGCATCCCCGGAACGCACAACAGCCCAACCTGCTACGTCTCCCTTCCCTCTGTGCGGTGCCAAGCCGTTTCCGTCCGCGAGCAACTCGATAACGGCGTGCGCTTCCTGGACGTGCGTGTCTCCTGCCCATCACCCTCCTCGCGCTCGCCGTCCCCTACCAAAACCGCTTCTCCCCGGCTCGACACACCCGACTCTATACCCGGCGCCTACCCGATAAGTCCCACCTCGACTCAGACAGAAACTCGGACAGACACCAACCCGCCCGCCCCCCAACCCGAACTCTCGCCGCAGGCTCCGGAACCAGCATACAAAGACAAGACCAAAGCGCCCAACCTCAGCCTAGTCCACTCCGCTTTTCCCGTCGCTTTATCAGGAACCAGGTACTTCCACGACCTGCTATCGGAGTGCTACGCCTTCCTGGACGCCAACCCTTCCGAGACGCTGCTGATGTCGATCAAGCGCGAAGGGACGGGGCGCGGGACGGACCAGAACTTATCTACTTACATGGCCGCGCGCTATCTGACGCCGGATAGGTGGTATACCAAGCCTGAGATCCCGACGCTGGAGCAGGCGCGCGGACGCATCGTTCTGGTCAGGCGGTTCCTTTTGGATCCGAGTCTGCAGGCTTCGGGGATGGGGATTGATGGTTCGGTGTGGCCTGACAACTGCGCGGATGGGACGTGCGGGAGCGAGACGATTCGGATTCAGGATTATTATGAGGTCGGGCAGACGCAGCATATTGAGAAGAAGATCGGGTTTGCGAGGGAGCAGTTGATGAGGGCGGCACAGCAGGTGTTTGTGCCGCCTGGGATGCCGGGTTCGGAGGCTGCTGGAGGTCCGTTGCCTCTGTTTATCAACTTTCTGAGCGGCAGCAACTTCTTCAATGCGAGTTGCTGGCCCGAGAAGATCGCGGCCAAGATCAACCCATCCATGATAGAGTATCTGTGTATGGGCCACGGAGCTCCTCAGAAGCAACCGGGCGAGCTTACCGTTGGCGATGCTGGGACTGGTATCGTAGTAACAGATTGGGTTGGGAATAGTGGTGATTGGGATCTGATACGCTGCATCGTTGGTTGGAACGCGAGGCTGCAGTTGAGGCGATAAAAGTACACGGGTGGTCAAAGTACAGCGGGAATTTTCAGGATACGCATTCATCACATGGGACTGAGCACAACAAGAATCAGATCAAAGTCATGAAAAGAGCAATAATTCAGATATCGCTACCTAAACACCCAAACGCCACCAACCCCAATGCTAATTGCTCGAAGGGACGCCTAGAACTGAGAAACTGTTAGCCTCTGCCAGAATTTTTGTACAGCGAACGAAGCAGATCTCGAAAAGATTATTTTCAGTCTGGTGAAACGGTTAGCAAAAAGCCCATCATGAACGAGAATAGGGCAGAAAAACATACCTCATTAAATCAGATTTTGTTTAGTGTTCATTCCAACCCGAAGGAAGGTCAAACAGTGTGAATATCGTCTCATCAGATAATAAAAGAGAAAGTGCGAACGCGCAAAAGTTATTACCTGCGGATCGGCATGTTAGTCCACAGATCCCAAGACGCTCTGATGTGTTGACAAGAGATGGTGCAAGGGCACGAAATCAGCTGACGAGTTCTCAGCAAGAATTTCTCCCTGAACCCCGCCCACAGGATGTACAGTCCTGCTTTGATGGACGAGGACAGAGAGGCTTCATTTATGTCCGCCCGTTCGTTCAAATCTTCGTCATAGTGCCAGGATGATGAAAGTGAGCCATGAGCATACCTGAAAAGTCGCGAGTTAGCAATGTGTCAGAACGAAGGCATGAAACAAGCAACAGATGGTTATGAATCCAATCAGACAAGGCTGAAACTAGTAAAGTATTCCACATGATGTATTAAGCTTGAGGAATTCCCTATTTTGTACGTTGATCATCACGGAGAGGGGGGCGAAGAGAAAAAAAAATGTTGGAACAAACCTTTTGATGTGTGAAGAAATGATATCGTGGAGAGCAACCAGAACGGTCGTCATGAGCCATTGTTGAAAAAACACCAGCACTGAAGGCAGAAGAGTTAGCATTAAGTTCATGACCAAACGACACCAATAAGCCTTGCTGCCAATTTTGCTCTCAGGGTAATTCTAGAGTAAATTGGTGTCCCCATGGGCTAGGTAAGAATTGGATTGTTCGTGTAAGGTCATCACAGTAGCAATTGACTTGCGCAGCAGGCAGAGAGGGGTAACAAAAAGTTGCAGTGCTTACCTTGCCGTGAAATGAAGTCTGAAGCATCAGTGCCGGCGACAAAATAACGATGTCGCGCGGGCGACCGACGCTCCAGACTTCCTGGTTGGTAAGAAGAAAAGAAGTCGAAGCTTGGAGCTCGGGAGAAATTTTTGGCTTAAAACCCCAATCCAATCCGTGTGGGGCGGCCGATGTGATGGGCCGGGTTGGGGACGAGGGGAGGGCTCGACCCCACCTGGATTTGCACTAGACTAGGTTTCAGCTCCGCCGCAGCACTGCCAGCTGTCCGCTCGCCCATGCATCAATCGAAGCATTGGGTCTTCCGCCAACTCTTTTAGTTGCATGTTAGTCGTCAGCTGCCTCATAGGTCTGTAACAGTTGCCGCCGGCGGTGGCGAATCCTTATCGATAAGGCCTCCCATTCATTGACATCCCGACCACACCCGTCTCAATCGTCATCACCTCCCTCCTCCCCGATCATCGAAACATCGACATCATAAACATCACCAGATTTTGAATCGGGTTGTAGACGTGGCGTGAGAGAACAGAAATCTCACTCAATCTCGATACAACCACGCAAAATGTCTCCCGCCGGGGGAGGCATGTGGGCCACCGCCGCCCTGCGTGTTCTCGGCAAGAATCTGGCGCGCACGTCCAAGATGCTTCGCTCGAAGCTCGCCGCCGCCGCGACACGTTCATCGAATCCAGCCCAACAACTCCAGCCCATTGCCGTACGTAGCGGTGTCAACAGCAGCCGCCAACCCATTCATCCCGCCGCATGGCTCCGCCAGCAGAAGAGCGGCCGAGGTGGTGCAAAGTGGCACTCGACCTACGCTGACATCAATGCCACTGTCCGTCGCTACATCAGCAACACCGCTGGGAAACAGTCCCCTTCATCCGGTCAATCCCGCTTTGACCGTTCCAAGTTCCCGGTCTCTGCTACCTCCCAGGCCGTAGCCCAGTTCCCCGGCCGGGCTCCCTTCGCCTCCACCCTCCGACCGAACCTCACCGGAGGCGCCCTCCCCCGTACCGCAGGCGGCTACTCCTTCTCCGGGGCCGGTCGTGCAGGCGGCAAGCGGTACTTCAGCCACACACCCACCGCCCCCGCCCAAGTCGTCCAGAACGTGAGCCAAGCCGTTCGCGCCTTCTGGCTCTCTGGCCAGCGCGCTCACTTCGACGGGTACTCCGCCGACGGCCGGAAGCTGTACCGGGCCGTCAGCGTGGACGAGGAGAAGGCACGCAACAAGCTTGCGGTTGCTCCCCACGCTCCCGGCTCGTTCATCGACTTCCACATCAGCCCCTCCGTCACGGCTCTCAGCCCCTTGGGCGCCATGATCCCTTCTTCCCAGAGCGTCAAGGCCGAGATCCAGACCGCTGGCGCCACGCTTCTCGCCGACAACTTCCTCGACGTCCTTTCCGTGGACTTTGCCCGCACGCTGAAGGATCTCGCAGCCGTCATGGCGGATCTGAAGGCTCTCGCTCGGTTGGGCGATCTGCCAATCTCTCTGGAGCGGGCCGACCTGCTGAGGGTTCGGTTCCCGGGTGTAGATGCCGAAACGGTCGAGCGGCTGTGCAACGACGTCGGCGTTCAGCGTGGCATCATTAGAGAAGATCCCGACTTCGATTCCGACGCCGGTGTCCAGGTCGCGCTGCGGTTTCCGTACGCCCCTGACAACGGCTGCTCCAAGACACTCACGTCGCCAAACGTGACCGTGCGGACGAGGGTCTCGTCAGAGAGTTCGGAACTCGACGACGCGTTCGTAGAGGAGGTCGAGGAGAACCCGTGGCTATTGGCATCGGAACATTCTGCTGTCTCGGAAGAGTCGGAAGGTTACGAGAGCATGTCGCCGTCTCTGAAGAGTGCTTCTAGTGAGCACTGCTCGGAGGACCGATATGAAGGGTTAGAGGGGATTTACAAGTTTCTGGAGGAATGTGATCGTGCGAGGGTGATGAGGTTTTAAAGGGTTTCCTTTTGCCTGTCCGGTGATTGGTGGGGGATCTCTTTTGTAATGATATCAGGTTATCGGTGGGCTGATGGTTGATCATCATCATCATCATCAGCACACGATAAGTGGGAGCAAGGGGTATGGATACGGGCCGTTCTGTTTTTTTCTTGGGATGTTTTTGGTACATATGGCGTGTTTTTAAGGATACCTCACTCCCTTTTGTCGTTTTCAGTAATCAATTTTCTTTTGCCCCTCGCTATGAGGGACCGAACTACTTGCATGTACTGAAGATATGGCTGGCCCCGTCTGAGCGGCTGCTGTCATGGTTTCCAGTTTATTCCCGTTTGACAAGATAACAAGATTGTATCTGCAGCATTTGACCGTGTTGCCCATAACACGCTTTCTCCGTCCCACAAACCTGCTTGTCCTCGCTGTTACTATCGAAACATATGATACTGACATGGGTATCTATTCCGACAAGTGATTCTATATAGCAATCAATGATGAAGCACCAAATATCGAACATGAAATGGAAAAAGGCAAGAAAAGGTCTAGTATTCTCTCCCAACCCGTCCTGTGTGAAGGTTTCAAGATGACCATTCCATAACGCAAATATGTTACGCCACGCCACACACACAAAAGTCCGCCGTGTATTGCGCCCATCTAGCCCCCCTTTGTTTTCTCGCCGTCCTTCTAGAAATATGTCTTTTTTTACCCACCGCTGCGCCGAATCAGAAAATAAAAGCAAATATGCAATAATAACCTTCCGCTCGCCACTGTGAATGCTACCATGCGCTCTAGTTGTGAATGCCAACCATGTTGGATGAACCACCCGCTTGTTCCGCTCTTTTGAGTAAACCGTGAGCCCGTCCGTGAAGACCCGTCTATGCATCCCGCTTGCGCTATGTATAGGGAATTGTGGTACGAAATGGCGAGTGATGGAGAATAACTCTGCTGTCCTTAGGCGCGGAGATGATGTCTCCTCCCTTGAACTGCCATAGAGCAGCCTGCTGGGACCTCAAATCTTCGCCCGTCGTCAATAGTCCATCTCTGGCTCTGCTGATCGGTACCCGCTCGCCTTCAAATTTTTTTTTTGCTTTTTCTCCCAACTGTCAGAATCACTTGTGCTTCCTGAACTTAGCCGCCAAACTACCAGACTGATTTGGCTTGTGCTTCCAGTTCTTCTGGCCCTGGCCATTCTGATGTCCATGTTTGTTCTTCTTGAACTCCTTCTCCCTCTTCTCCCCAAAACTCGACCCCGACTCCGCCGCCACCGAGGACTTCTTGAGCGAAGCAACCTCCTCCGCAACCCTCTTGTTATGACCCTTCTTGAGCACCTGCTTCGACAGACTGTCATCACCGCCCGACCGGTTCTTCTTGTTAGCACCACCCTTGCCCGACTTGTGGGAACCAGAAGAGGGATCGGCAGGACCGATACCGCCGGACATCATCATGTCGTTGTGGCCCGTGTTGCGACCGGTCTTCCTCCACTTGGGGCGCTTGCTCTTGGGCCTGTTGTCGTCGTAGACGAGGTCGTCGTAGCCGAGCGGGTTGTCGAGCATTTCCTGGACCTTGATGACGAAGAGCTCTTTCCTGATTTCAGGCGGCACGTTCGGGTAGGGCTTGTATGACTTGTCGATGGCGGCAGGAGTCATGGCGGCACCGGAACATGTGGGGGGTTCTGCTGAGGTCTTGGACTTTTTCGCCTTGGGCTGCTCGGTGGCGCCTTCCGACTGGTCGTCTTCATCCCGCTTGTGCTTCTTGGACTTCTTCATCTCGGAAGCTGGTTGAGCGTCGGCCTTGAGCTTCTTCTCCTTCTCCTTCTGGAGTTCTTGACCGTCCTGCTTGTCGCTGCTCGACTTCTGCTTCTTCTCGTGCTTTTGGTCTACTGACTTCTTGGGCGTCAGAGCGCCGCTGGTGGTTGTTGGTCCCGCATCCTCTTTGGTTTTTTGGGTAGACGACTTGGACTCCTTCGATGAAGCTACAGCCTCGACGTTGATCGTGATCTTGAACTTTTCCGCTTTGGGAGTGGGTTTTTCTGTGACAATATCGGCCTTAGTTTGTGAGGGGGTAACTGCAGCTGAAGAGGAAGTCGTCTTTTGCTTGGTCGACTTCGTCACGGATTTGACCAAGCTGTCACAGTCGGACAGATCGGGTGTCGTGATGTTCGTGGAAAGTGAGTCAACCGTCCTGGTGTCTGACTTGACTGTTTCGTCGGAGCTGCTGGTGACGCTAGGAGCCTTGCTGCTGTCATTATTACGATGATCGTCTACACTGAAACTGATTTGGGGAAGAGCGTGGGGTTTGGCGGATGATGGCTCTGGGGAGACTTGGGGTGACGTCTTTTGTAGATGCTTGGAGGCGGAAGCGCTGGGTCTCGAGTTTTTCAAGGTATGAGCATTGCTGAGGGTGCCCATGGTGTTCTCTAAGAAAGCACCGGCTTTTTGCAATCGCTTCCTAGATTCTGCCCACTGGGATCTCCTTTGCGCATAACGTTTAACGGCACGTTTGGCAAATGGGCAAGTTGTTTGGTACAGTTTCCTGAGTTCGGCGTCTGCTCTGTCACGGCTGGCCTGGTACCGCCTCTCGGCTTGCGCAAGGTACTCCTCCTTTGAAAGGGGCTTGTGAGTTTTCTTTTCGGTGGTGGTGGTTGTGAAGCTGGATTTCGGGCCATTTGCGGGCGCAACTGATGGCAAAACGAAAGGGTTTCTGGGAGTGCTGGCAGGTGCGGTCTCTGCATTTGGTGCTGTTGCCGTTTTGAAAAGAAAGCGGCTTGGTTCGGTGGCCGAAGCCCCAGCGCTCTGCACACCAGAGGTGCTTTTTGCTGACCCCTTGTTTGGTCGCATACCGTCCGCCTTGCTCTTATTGCCAGCCATGGTTCTTATTGTGAGGCCGATGTTGGCGTTTGTCGATGCTGTGACTAGACTCAAATTCTGAAGCGCAAAGTGATGCGGTCGGGGAGTGCGTGTTGACTTTGAAATGAAAGACGAGAGAATCATTCACTGCGGGCGGCCGGCAGGTGAACAATAACAGCGCAAACAATTCTCGAAAGAAATATGAAAAAGGTATCACGCGCCCGGAGAACACCTGGAGATGACGAATGCAATGATGCTATTCAGTGAAGGGGAACCTGGATGAGGGCTCACGACCCCTTCACTTGGACAGGCGGTGGTCTGGAAATTTTTGGTGTTGTTACTTATCTTATCAGGCTTGTGCCCCCTGTTTTCGGGGGACATCCACTCCTGCTCTCCATCAACAAACCGGCGTGGACATCACACTAACCTTGAAGTAGACAAGAGGCATTTTGGAGGCTCACAGACATCTTTCGAGGCCGAGTGCCAAATGCTCTCATACATTTGGGGTCTTGATGAGCTTGGATTGGCAAGATTCTATATATAATCGACATCGCAACCTTTGATACCACTTCACCAACCAAGCCAATATGATGAACTCTTCTCACTCTCTCTTCAGTAGGACTCCCGAGTGCAAAAGGGCGCCGAGCGGGCGCTTAACCCAATGCGGTCTAGAAGCTGTCGCGAATGCGGACACGGGCACTACCCCACACAGTGAACCTCTACAGGTAGCTCAGGCCTGCCGAGGTACTATCGGCCTGCCTTATCCCCCGCATCCCTCCACCGGCATCGCAACCGACCGGGTTTCAACCAGGCGATTCTCTTGTCCGAGAAGCGACAGGGAGACTGTTGATACATAAAAGCCTGTGACAGCTCCCCCCTTTTGTGCTCGTCGCTTTGTAAAATTGTATTCTGTAATTCTAATCTTGTACCAACCTCCGTCCCACGACACCTCATTCTTGTATATCTCTTTGCCACATATTAAACTTTCACAATGGCTGGCCCCGGAGTTGGTTTCGAGTACCCGTCCAAGAGTGTCTCTTGGTGCAAGAGGGATCTTTTGCTCTTTGCCCAGTCCATTGGATGCAAGGCCGAGGAGCTTCACTTCCTCTACGAGCTTCATCCCAACTTCGCTCCTTTCCCCACCTACCCTCTGGCTTTGTGTGAGTACATCTTGCAGTTGCTCGGTTGTCTTGCCAATGTATAACTAACGGTCTTGCAGCTTTCAAGCTTGATTCTTCAGATGTAGTCGACTTCTATGCCGCCCAGAAGTCCGTTGCCATCCCCGGCGTGCCTGTCTTCGACCCCGCTCGTGTCGTTGACGGACAGCGCCGGATCGAGTTCTTCAAGCAGCTTCCCACCTCCTCCGAGGGCAAGAAGTTCGAGTCGCGGACCAAGGTTGTCGGCGTCTATGACAAGGGTCGCCCGGGCTCTGTCGTTGAGACCCAGACCGATATCGTAGATGCTGCCAACAACGAGGTTTACTCGCGCATCCACACCTCTTCCTTCTACGTCAACCAGGGCAACTGGGGTGGCCCCAAGGGTCCCGCCACCCAGAACTTCCCCCCGCCCAAGGACAAGAAGCCCGATGCTGTGTTTGAGAACCAGACGACTCCCGAGACCCCCTTGCTGTACCGCCTCAACGGCGACTACAACCCCCTCCATGCCGATCCCGAGCCCGGCAAGAAGATGGGCTTTGGAGGCGTCATTATTCACGGTCTGTACTCGTGGAACTGGGCCTGCCACGGCCTTCTTCAGCACCTTGGCGGCAGCGACCCTGCCAACATCAAGGAGTACCAGGCCCGCTTCGCTAGCCCCGTCCGTGGTGGTGATAAGCTTGTTGCGTCCGCATGGAAGACTGGTGAGATCAAGGATGGCTGGGAGGAGATTCGCTTCCAAGTCCAGATCGAGGGTGGTAAGGTCGTACTCAGCAACGGCCGCGCCTTGATGAAGTGCGTCGGACCTGCTCCTCAGAGCAAGTTGTAAAAGAAACATTGTCATTTTTGTATATATAGGCATGAGCAAGCGGCTGCTGTTTGCATGACATGACAACGAAGGAAAGATTTCATGATACCATAACGATACCAGCAGTAATAACTAATGGACGGATGTTTAATCTTACTGCTAGTGTTAGCGGCATCTTTCACTTGATCGCTTGGGGTCAAAATTTGCAATGCCATGAGTTCGTGATGCGGTGTTGTTGTCCAGTTCTTGCCCCTGGCACCAAAATTCGTGGATCTTATGGCGGCTTGCAGTCAGGTGCAGTGGCGTGGCTGGCTAAAAATGGACGCTCTACAAACCCCTCCACAGTGAATGCCTTCCACTTTATTGTACAGCACGCTCAACTAAAGTCGGTAGCAACCAGTGCAGTGCAAAATCCCATCCATCTTCGACAATCGATATTCGTCTAGCGGTACAGCTCAAAGTGCCTCAAACGGCGGATAATCGAAATATCGTCAAAAGATGGCTTCCGTTACCCCTCACATTGGCCAAAGAAGGTCCTACGACGGCGCCCTGTGCACCGTCCGATTTATTGGTGAACTCGAGGGCACCACTGGCTCATGGCTTGGAGTTGAATGGGATGACCCGACACGCGGCAAACACGCTGGCCAACACAAGGGCATCCGATATTTCACATGTGAGGCTCGCCCATCTTATCATCTAAACGGCATGGCCCTCTAACATTGTCTCAGGCAAATCCAAGTCAGCAACAGCAGCGTCTTTCATCCGTCCAACTAGACCGGCAGATGCACCCCAGACGTTTCTCTCTGCACTCCAGCTCAAGTATGCATCTGACGGACCTTCCGACAATGGACCCGTACTCCCCGGAAAGCAAATCGTTGTCGGAGGCAAGGTTGCTGAGGAGGTCGGCTTTGATAAGATCCGCCGTAAGCAGGCACAATTGAGCGAGCTGAAGATTGTCATCCTTGACGGCTCATGCATCACCTCTGCTTCTTCACCAACAACAGACCCGGAAGATCATCAGACCATCCGCCAGACTTGTCCCAAAGTCGTCGAGCTGGATGTCAGTCGTAACTTGTTCACCGACTTTGGGACTGTGGTGGATATCTGCTCCGAGTTGGATTCCTTGAACAGTCTAAGAGTTAAGTAAGTCCCCCTTTCGCTACTGTCTTCGAAACCAGCTCCATCTGTTGCGTGTGACAAAGGCTGACACCATACAGCGGAAATCGCTTTCAAAACGTCCTCGAACATGAAAAGCTCAATGGACCACATGAAGCCTTCAAAGGCGTCAAGGAGCTCGAAATGGGAGAAACGCTACTAGGTTGGCCTGAGATATGCCATATCGCCTCCAAGTTTCCTTCCTTGACTCTTCTTGAAATTGGCACAAACCAGCTGTCTACTCTCGGACCAATCCCGCCAGCAGTATCCTTCACATCGACACTAGTCTCTCTGAACTTGGAGTTCAACGGGTTTACATCACTTCATGACATCGCTGCTCTCACGACTATCAGCACCCTTCGAAATCTGCATCTGAAGGGTAACTTGATATCCTCTATCACAACCTCTTCATCCACTGAGGTACCAGTCTTTGGAAAGAACCTTCAATACCTTGATATGTCATACAACAAGGTCAGCGATTGGCAATTCGTCGACGCTCTTCTAGACTCCTTCCCTGGATTGACTTCTTTGCGATTCTCCCACAATCCGATCTACGAGAACCCAGGACTCGAGGATGGGGCTATTTCGGAAACGGACGGCTCGAAGAAGGGCACTGCCGCTAGTGATGAGGCATTCATGTTGATGGCTGCGCGTCTCCCGTCCGTTAAGACGCTCAACTTCAGCAATATTACTACTGCGGACCGTACCAACGCAGAGATGTACTATCTCTCTCGCATAGCTCGACAATTGTCAACCACTCCGGAGGCAGACGAAGCCCAAGTGCTTGCACGTCATCGGCGCTGGGCCGAGCTATGTGAACTCTACGGCGAGCCAGTAGTATCGCGTCAACAGGACATCAACCCGAACTTCCTTGAGGCAAGGTTGATTACTGTTCACTTTTACCTCCCCGAGTTGGCGACCAGTGAGTCAGCAGACAACATGTCTGTGCGAGAGAGGATCGTCCAGATACCCAAATCGTTTGACATCTATGCAGTCAAGGGAATTGCTGGGAGAATGTTTGGTCTCCCGCCTCTGAAGCTGCGACTGGTGTGGGAGACTGGTGAGTGGGACCCGGTTGGTGGGTTCGATGACGACGATGGTGACAGCAGTGAAGACGAGGAGATAGAGGCAGAGAGAGAGCGCAGACAGGACGATTCCGCCTCACTGGCAGGCACATCTGTAGCCGGAAAGAAAGGTGGAAGATTTGTGAGGCGCGAGGTTGAGCTGAAGGATGGTCCCCGCCAGTTTGGCTACTGCGTGGATGGTCTCGAGGCCAAAATCAGGGTCGAACTACGGTGAAGATATCACAAGAACAACTTTGTTTTGGTAGACGACCGGCATCTACAGTCTTCAAATGCAAACCCACCATGTTCGACACAACACTACGATCCAAATATGGTTCTCACAAGCGCTTGTTTCGGTCCTTCCAGGCAGTCTTTCCGCTGTGTTTGAAATTTTGTCCGTTTGTTTGTTCGCCCAAAGCTTCAACGCTTGACAAGTTCTCTAAAGATTGTCGGGCAAAATAGCCGCAGCAAACCTGTGTCGACAAAGTGCTAGTCAGAGCGTTACTGCACACTAGACACAGCTCTATAAAGATGGATCGTTCGCTCTGAGTTCGAGCCAACGTCTATAGTCAGAACAAGTCAACCAGAACAAGTCTTATTCCTCCTCCTACAACGAGCCACAGTCTAAGTGATTCAGGGTCTCTTACCTTTCATTGTCCATCTCGCCAAATACCAAGACGTCAACCTCACTCGCCCACCATGATACCGCGACCTCAGTTCTTCGTTGTCCGACCTGACACCGAGGTTTTGCGCAATGATACCGGAGCAATTCAAAGGGAACAAGGTCCTATGGTGCCTTTGGTTGCTGTGGATGAGCTTCCCGACTGGATCGACATCGGCCTACCTCGGGAGCTGACGGTCGAGCAGACCATGGGGCTCTACAACCTCGGTATGGTCCCGCACAACGGAGACGCCTATAGGGTACGGATTATCGAGCCTAATTCTCAAGAGGAATTCGTATGGAAGAGAGATTCGTCCAAAGCCACATTGGTCTCAAGCGGTGCCTGCGCTCCTGGACAGCGGACCACGGCTCATCCTGAGCAATCACAGCGAGTTCAGTATAACGCAACAGCTGCTCCCACCGGACGTAATCCCAATTCGATCCATCCCTCTTCCTCCGCGGAACCCTCTCCGCATACTGCTCACCCCAGCATGGCAGCGGCAAGCCCCAATCCAACCAGGTTGACCCGCGCCGAAGACGAGGCGATGCATACAATGCGATGGGCCGATCTGGTCGAGAGGAGCATCGCCCGAGACACCGAAGCACAGGATCCCCGTTGTCACTCCACCCTCCTCGCCCCTCCTCCTTCTCCCCAGATCGCATCTCATAGTCATCCGACTGTCCTCCGAGATGGCATGTCCGCTATTGGCACTACAAGTACTGCGGATCAAAGGGCAAGCGTTCCTCACAACACAATGGCTACACCACCCAAGCCCGCCGCCAACACCGATGCCGCAACAACTACTTCCAATACCACTACGGTAGCTGCCAATCCTGCTGGTGTCAGCCCGGGCTCTAACACTACATCCGCCAGCACCGCCTCTTCTGTTCCAGCTCCCCAGGAATACTGCCGCCACTGGTGTCAACACGGCACCTGCAAATGGGGCACCTTTTGCCGTCACAAGCACGCCATGCCCACCACTCTCGAAGGGCTCCTCGAGGTTGGACTGTGCGAGATTCCAGCTTGGTGGATTGCTGCTACTGGTATCGGGATGGGTACTAGTAACGGCAAGACGAAGATTGCTGCTGCTGCTACTGGTGCTGGTGGTGGTGGTGGTGGTGGTACTTCTCCCACTACTGGCGCTGGCGGCAACGGCGGCGGCGGCGGCGGCAGCGGTGCTCATCCTCCACCCGTCCCCTGTACTCCCATGGCTCACAATATCCATCACGTACTACCAGCCATGATGGGAGCAGGAGGAGTGGGAGGAGTAGCAGCAATGAAACTAAGCAACAGAAAACTCAAAGCCCAACAGCGCGAATTCAACCAGCGCCTCCGCCTGCTCAGCTCCATGTTGATTCCCCCGGGGTACGGTAGTCCTCACTACCCGCTTCGTCATCCTGCTGATGCGTTGTTGATGCATGGAATGCATGGATATGGTTCTGGTGGCCCTGGTCAACAACAACAACTGCAACAAATGCAACAACAGATGCAACAGCAACAGCAGCAGCAGCAGCAGCAAAGACTTGAACGTAAGGGAGAAAAGACGCCGCTGGATAGGAATCGCAAGAATGTCAAGGTGACTTTTAATGAGGATGGGACGGTGAGTCTTGTTACCGCTGATGATGGGGGTAAGAAGGGGGGTGTTGTTGCTGCTGTTCAGGGACAACAATCTGGAGGGGAGACGGCTGGGACTGCTTCTTCTTCTGCTCCTGCCGGTGCTGGTGCTGGTGCTGCTGCTTCGGTGGCGGCGGTATCGAATGCCGCCGAGACGGGAAAACCCGCCGCTGGCGATAACGGAGTGACTGACGAAATGGACAAGAGAAAGGAGAATGAGGGACCCAAGGATATGAGGCCGGTAAAGAAGGGCCTTGCGGCGTCTATGCATGCTCCCAAGCAGGATCAGGGGCAGGTGGTAGTCACGATTCCGGGCAGCATGAAAGTCACCTGTGAGGATGAAAGTGAGGGCGGGAGTGTGGTGCAGCTGGCTGATGTTCCGCGGCTGGTGGAGATCTAGAGACCGACCACGTTTTTGGGTATGGATGTATGTAAGCAGGAGTTGATGGGGACCGTGAATTAGAGAGACATACTTGGTGTTGAATAGAGTTTGCGTTTCGGATCAAGACATGGACGACTTGTTCTTCTGAGGATGATGAAGCATCGGATGTGAGTGTAGTAGGTCAATGAACATAGGTAGAGTTAGGCCTGAACAACAATATCTCGGAAAGTGAAGCCAACAAACTTGAATGCTTATGTGATCAATCATCTCTACGCCCTAGATAGCCAACAGCTTCCATTGTTTCTTAGTCCATCGGCATCCCTCATCACCGGCCGGCCAGACTAGTCTAGGCCAGACTCGACGTCCGAGAAGGTGCAAACCGAATGTTCAGATTGGGGCTTCGTCAGCTTACATATCAGCCACCACCCTTATATCCGGCTGCATTACTAACTAACAAGCTGACAGCTTAAGCACAGCATTAAACTGTTAGGCGCTGTGATCAATGAAATCACCGAACTAGCGGGAAGCCGCGGGCTCCGGCTACAAGCCACTCGGATTTTAGACCGAGCGCCGGAGATAAGCAACGAACGACGTCTCTCCCTGACTGCCGCGTTGCGCTGCGCATGATCCTGTCCGCGGTCGAGATCTCCATTTCCAAAAACGGTAAGGTTCCTAGTGTAAGTCCGGGCGGCGGGACGCGGCGAGCCGAACTGTGAAGGGACCAAGGTTCTCTGGCCCGGGCCCGCGGGGCAAGATAATTCGGAGAATCATGCTATGCTGGGGCGATGTGATGTAGAGCGGGCGGGTTCTAGCCTGGGATCGGTACCAAGAAAGATAACCTGAAGTGGTCTGTAGTTTTAAAGGACCCTGAAGTCTCAACAAAACTACCGTTGTGGGTGTGAAACATATAATAAGAAGAAAAGCTGCCACCTCATTTTCAGTTTACTCCTTCTCCAACCCAACAACTCAAACAACAATGCCTCAACTCGCCGGAAAAGAAGTCGGACCAACAGGCTTCGGCCTCATGGGTGAGTCTCCCTCTCTCTCCCCCTCTCCCTCACACATCTTCCAAAACTCCCATCCATCCAATCCAATAAAACCCCCAAACTAACAAAAAACACAGGCTTCACCTGGCGCCCCAACCCCGTCCCCCAAGAGCAAGCTTTTGCTACCATGCGCGCCGCCCTCTCCCACGGTCTCAACTTCTGGAACGGCGGCGAATTCTACGGCCAACCCCCCTACAACTCGCCCATCCTTCTTGAGCGCTACTTCGAACAATACCCCGAAGACGCCGACAAAGTCGTTTTGTCCATCAAGGGCTGCTGCGGCCCGACCGGGATGCACCCGGACGGATCCGCGGCCGAAGTCCGGCGCTCTCTGGATACCGTAATCCAGCAGTTGAACGGACGCAAGAAGGTGGATATCTTTGAGGCTGCGCGCCGTGACCCGAAGGTGGACATGGAGGAGACGTTTGGGGTTATGCAGGAGTATATTGATAAGGGATTGCTGGGGGGGATCAGTTTGAGTGAAGTCAGCGCGGAGACGATTCATAAGGCTGTCAAGATTACGAAGGTGGTGGCCGTGGAGGTGGAGTTGAGTTTGTTTGCGACGGAGGTTTTGGAGAATGGGGTGGCGGCGGCTTGCAAGGAGTATGGCATTCCGTTGATTGCTTATAGTCCTTTGGGCAGGGGGGTGAGTTCTTCTTTCCTTATTATTTTCTCATGTCTTTACTTGATCCGGGGACAATATCAGCTAACTACGGCAACAACAGATCCTAACCGGCCAGATCAAATCGCGTGACGATCTTTCCACGTTCCCGATGTTGCTTCACTTCCCCCGCTTCTCCGAGGAGAACTTCGACATCAACCTCCAGCTCGTCCACCAGGTGGAAGAGATGGCCAAGAAGAAGGGTTGCACGCCCGCGCAGCTGGCCATTTCGTGGACGCGGTGCCTGTCCCGCCGTCCGGGCATGCCGGAGATCATCCCCATCCCCGGCGCCACGTCGGTAGAGCGGGTCAATGAGAACGCCGTGTTTGTCAAGTTGACGGATCAGGAGATGGATGAGATTGATGCGACGCTGGCAAAGTTTGATGTCAAGGGCGCGAGGTACCCTGACTATATTCCTGTCAACACGTAAGAGCAGACGGACGTCAAGCTATGTATGTGGACAAATGTCTCAGGACGACAAGAGAGAACGGAGAAACACCATGGAGAAGTGATGAGCAGAACAGACACAAGAGTAGATAGCGATTTCGAGGGTTGCAAATAAATGGAATCATATTTTGTTGCATCTATCTTGCCAATATTAAGGCGCTATCAAAAGTGCTCCAGACCTGTTAAACTTGTTCATGTCAGCAGGCCAATCTTTCACGCTTTGGTCTTGTATGAATAAACAGATGGTGACATGGCGGGTCAGGAAAATAGTAATGTGTTGATAGTCCACAGTGAGCCTCGGTTGCCCGAGGGAACTTGAGAATTGCAGAATTCTTGGAAGAATCATTCATCATAATGCCGGAGGAAAGAACGAGGATGGAGGAATGAGCAACTTACATTAGAAGGGAACGAAAAGAAAAAGCCATAGACGATCAAAGGCGTGTCGCGCAAGAAAGACCAACTCGGTTACTGTAAACTTCCGGCAGGAATGTAGCACGAGTTGGTGGTCCAAGACTATGCTGCCTTTGAAGATTTCGCTGAACAGAACGAGGGGAAGATTCAGCAGTCTCTTCAATGTGCCTTTTTGATGCGCCATATATGGGGACCTGGTTACGTAAGCACCCTCTGTTCAGATTGTTGCAGAAGGGTTAGGGTTGCACATCTGTCGTTGACATTCAGGGGTGACCAGCTGAGCCCGGAAAGACTTCATAAGTACCAGAAGACCCTTTGTTCACGGAACTTTATTCACCAGTCACTTTTCCTGTCATACTCCGAGCACTCAAAAGACAGTCACTGCACCCAATTTGGTGATTAACAGAGTATGCCATTCCAATGTCTTCCACCTGCATACTAATAAAACTCTCCTCCATCCTACTTCTCCTGTGCTTCTTTCAGAGAAATCATATGCTCGGCCTTTTGCACCAGCTTCTTCACACTCTGCCATTCCTCATTCTTCAGATCTTCCTTTCCACCCAGATCCGGACCAACTTCGAACATAGTGACCGTGCCGTCGATACCGCCAGTGGCCAATCTCTTGCCCTCAGTACGCTCCCACTTGACCTTGTTCAAGCTCTTGCTCAGCATTGGGCGTCCATCCTTGCGTGGGCTAGGAGAAATGCGCGCAACGGGCTCCTCAGTCTCCACGGTGATATCCCACAGTTCAAGCCAGCCTGCGCCGTCGACCAAGCTGAACACACCAGGCTTCACTGGTGACCATGCCACATCATAAACGACATCCTCGCGCACAAAGTCCATAAGTGGTTGAACGCCGTTATGCTCTTGACCGGGAACGTTGATACCGCCGCCCGTTGTCACAACCGTAGACGTTGCCGCAGGAGCGCGCGCCTTCCAGAGCTTGACGCTCCAATCCAAACTAGCAGACAGTACGAGATCGCCCAAGTCGACAACACCCCTTGCAGGATGAAAGTCGACTGCCATAACAGGAGCAGCATGACCCCTGTAACTGACGCGAGCATCAACACCTGCTTTAGCACCGGCACGATCGTACCGATGGCACGGGTAGATGGATCCCTCTTCCGTTCCAACCAAGAAGAAAGTCGGATCGGCCTGCGGGAACGCCAGACATGTGGGACTCATATCTTCAGTCCTGGATGGATGTGGGGCGATAAGTGTGAGGTTTTCTTGAGGCTGGGCGAGCATGTCAATGCTCCAGCCGCACATGTGGCCATCTGTTGAGCATGATATGATGTTGTTGGCGTTCTGCGTGCCGATAATATCGATACAGTAAACGGGATGTGTATGTCCCGAACCTGTCAAGGGCGTCTTCTGTACTGGAGCTGACCTGGCGCGCGTATCCCAGAGCAGAACCTGTCCGCTGTATGCTCCGCCGATGATAAGGTTAGGATGGAAAGGAGAAAACTTGGCCGTTAAAATGTCGGATTGCGCGTGGAACACAAACTCCGGCCTATCGTGCAAATGCATATTCCAGACCTGCACAATTCCATCTGGGTCATGGGGTGCCGACGGGTTCTTGGTGTATGATGCCAGGAGTAGTTCACTGAACTTGGGCGAGAAGTCAATGGAGCTGATCATGCGCTTCTTGGACCACCTCTCGTCATAAAACTGGGCCAATTCCTTCACCTTCCGCCGACCCTTCCCGCCCGTGTTCCCGTTCTGTTCGTCCTCTTCATCGACGTCGTTTACTCCGAGGGTATAGTCCGTCAAAATATCGTATTCTTGGTCGAGTGCCTTTTCGATAACCTTGGTCGACTTATCGATAAAGTCCATAAAATCGTCAGATTGCGTAACGGCGTTCAACTCTTCGTCGGTAAGATTCCTCGTGGGAAAGTTCGCCGCAGCAGACGGCTTGTACACTCCATCTGTGACAAGTTCTTTGGCCGCTTTCAACTCCTCCTCAATCTCCTTTCTTATGTTCTCGCGCAACTCTTCTTCGCGATCCCGTAACCTCCTGCTAATCCTAGTCTTAGTGGGCGATGCAGGCGGTTCCTCGATTTCCGAGTCCGAATATCTTCGGGCCTTAGGCTGGGGGGCCCAATCGTCCGTGGTCTGTACTCCCTTGCTGTATGTAAACACTTCCTTCACCGGCGATGGTGGGCATTCGTAAACAGTCGTGAGAGTTGTTGAGAGGACTTGCGTGGCTTGGTTTGAAGAAGCAAGTATGGGTCCGAGAGCTGGAGTAGCATATTCCGAGGGCGAGATACTAGTTTCCCCGGCGCTTATTACGCTATTGGGTCGGCTACCATGAAGGCGAGGAGAATTCGCGCCGGTCGAGACTGATACTGGTCTGCTCTCGCCAACCAGGCTCTGGATCAGAGTCTCGATCTCACGACGACTTTCTGCCCTACCGGGCGTCGGGCTGACTATCTAAAGAAAAGGAGATCAGCTTTGAAGCGAAAGAGCAGGCGTCAACCAAGGACCATGCACTCACATCGCTTGCGCTTCCTATGCTCAAGCGGGCATTAACCTGAGTAGCACGGAGCTCTCGCTGCCGCTTCAGCTCGGCGAGCTTCGCCTTCTTAGCGAGGATCTCATCCCGACGTTGCTGCATCTTTGCGAATCCTACAACCCATTCCCTGACTAGACTGGTCTCTGAAGTGCCAAATTCTGCTGCCGGCGCAAGCCCTTGGGGGCACAACGCGGGTATCCAGCACTGGCGATATGCGGTAGACTGTTTTAAGGGATGCGACCCGTGGGAGGTAGAGCGAGCTTGGGAAGCTTTGTGGAAGGTTGAAGTGGATGTCGCGTCGGTCTGTGTGGAACAATGGAAAGTGAAGAGGGGCAAAACTGAGTTGCGACGTGGTGTTCTAGCAATGATAAGACAGGGCAGCTAGTCAAAAAAGAGGTTTCAAACAGAAAGCGGTGCTGTGTTCCAGACTCTCACGTCCAAGCGCGACGTCCTTTGGTTCCTCTTCGCGGTTGATCAAGGACGAGAGGGAGAGGGAGGTTGACCAAACGAAAGACAATGAATGGATGTTTCCTTCCATTTGGGGAACTGACCTCCCGCCGCCGACGGTGAGCCGGGCTGTCGTCGGTGTGTCGTCCCAAATCGCTCCCGTTCAGTGGGTGTTCCCGCCTAGCGGGGATGCTGTCAGGGGCCTCAGGGCCAGTCAGCCGCTGTGCAGGGAAGCCCGCGTTGGCCGCCAACCCGCCGGAGCAGAGGCGTTCTTGCCGTAAAAACCGGTAAAAAACAGCCTTTCGCCGGGCTGGCGTTCGGGCTGTTAGTAAGATACAGTGGAACCGTGGGTAAGGAAAAACGGTGGACGGTTACGGCTGCGAAAATTCCCGAAGCTCCAAAACTTCATTTCGCATCCTGAGCACCGACGTAAACGTCTCTACCTTGGAACTTTCCACCCCCTCAACGCTAAACGCTCGCAACTTTTCCCTCGCTCGACCCGACGACGCACCACCCGGGACCCAATTGACCTCCTCAATTGCCATCCGCCGCACCCCGACCGTCTTCGAGTCCACCTTTTAATTCCCCTTCCTCCGAACCCCCGAGCGCATCCGGCCTCGCCAAACACCAACTCGTCCAAAAATGTCGTCAACCGCTTCCAAGGCTGGATCCAACGTGAGTTGCACCATCGGCGCCGCCGCCGCCGCCGACACCACCACCACCACAACCACTACCATGATGCACCACCCGTCGGCTCCGTGACGAGAGGGGGGGGCATCTTGTGCGCCTACTGGCTGCCCGTCTCGAAGACACCTCTCGATCACCGTCGCGCATTCCTCGAAAGCATTGGTTGGAGAATCAGAAAATGTTCGGAAGCTAAAATGGGATATCCCGCAGGTCCTCCGGTACTCGGCCCTCGGCGCCGGTATCTTCTACGGCTTCACCCACCAGAGGTCCATCAGCGCCGCTGAGAAGGCCGCTGCTGCCCAGCGCGAGTACGAGCACAAGCAGGAGCTAATAAACAAGGCCAAGGAGGCCTACGCCAAGTCCAAGCAGCCCGTCTCCGCCACCTCTACTCCTAGCGGACGTGAGTTCATGCCCGATTTTTCCTGATCTGTATACAGTCCTTCCCCGGATCCGGTGGCCCGCGTTGTTACTACTCGCGACCAAAGCCGGGGGCCCGGGGGTGTTCTAGGGGAAGAATGGACTTGCTAACCAGGTGCCTCACTCTGCCTCAAAGAAACAGTCAACCAGGATCCCATGAGCCCCAACTTCGACATCGAGGCCTACTTCAGCGCGCTTCTGGCGAAGGCCTAAATGGGGAAGCCGTGATGAAGTTGTGAACGAGGGACGCAATGGAACGAGTTCAAGATAGACGCGCTTCGCATCGCAGGGAGGCAATTATCAATGGGTTATTGGGTTTCAACGTTAAAGAAAGGGGCAGGGAAATGAGAAATGCCGAACGATGGGTGTTTTAGGGAAAATAGAGGAGGGCGTTTGCTGATCACCAACTCTCTCTCTCTTGCTCCGCCGGTCCGAGGAGGGATGCCAACTGCTGCCTTGGGAAACGAGAAACGGCCAAGAACGACGACAAACACTGGACACACAAGACAACCGCCTCATCAACGAGATCCATTTACCCATTCCCTTACCCACCCCATCCTCACCCCGCAAAATGCATGTGGATCACGTATGCCTTGTACACAAGACAAAGGGATCCCGTGTGAGATTTCACCTGCTGCTGTTCAAAGACATCTGATGATGCTAAGCATGGTGTGTATTATTTGCCCAACCAACCACATACATTTAAAAAGAAAGACAGTTCATCCCGATACATCGCGACGGCATAGAATCTCTTCTTTTTACTCTTTCTCTTCTATTAGACAGACGGACAGACCTTTGTGTTTTGCCAGCCTGTACTTAGTGTACATTACAGCAATTAGAGGGCGGATGAACAGGGTAAGATAAAATTTAGCAGGGTGCTATTCCTGAGAGTCGCTGATACATCGTCATTCTTCCCGGTTTCTCTTGATAAGGGCCTTAACGGGACTGCCTACAAGCAAGAAGGAATGATATGTCTATGGCGGTGACCCAACTCACCCTCCCCCTTTTCTCTCTTCCACGGTTGTTCTTCGCCACCTGTACTTCACTACTCTTCTACTCTCCATCACTCCTCAACTCTTCTCTTCACTCCTCTCTTTATTCCTCTCTTCACTCCTCTCTTCACTCCTCTCTTCACTCCTCTCTTCACTCCTCTCTTCACTCCTCTCTTCACTCCTCTCTTCACTCCTCTCTTCACTCCTCTCTTCACCCTGCTCTCAAGCTCATCCGTTTTATCCCCCTGTTGTTGCGGGACTGACCAGAAAGAAGGAAAATGCATCATCTACCACCTTCATTACCCACCACATCAGCTTTCCCGCGTAAATTCTGCCGGAAAGTCCCAACAATTTTGTTCCAGACAGACAAGACAAGGCTTTGGGGCCCTCTCCCCTCTTCTTCCACTTCCTCCCATACTCTTCTCTCCCGCTTTCTTCTGGCAGGATAGATTATTCTACGACTCTTCACCGGCAAAACATCGGCGAACACGGGGGCTGGAATCGTTCTCGTGCTGGCAAGTAAGGCTTCAGTTGTGTTTCCAGTGTTGTGGTAAATAACTTGAATGTTAAGGGGTCGATTTCCATGCCATTCGAATACTCCCCCTCGTCGTATTGGATTCGGATATCCATGTAGCCGGGGAAACACCGTTGTAGTGTTTTTGAAGATATATGCTTACATTACAACCTCATTCATGGTTCAACATGCGTGTAATCCTCAACGACGAAGAACTAGTCTTGAATAGATAGGCTACATACAGGTAGTAGAAATTTCAACAGCTAACTTTGCAACCGACCGGTCATTATAATCGTACCATCCATCCCCACGATGGATGCAGACCAACTAAGTGATCGCGACGACAGCCAAGATGTCACATATCTGATCTCTCCATGAACACTCCGCACACTTGATGACAAAAACAGGTAAGAATGCCCCAAAAGTGGCATTAATTGAAAGCGAAAAAGACAAAACTAAGCTTCTTTAACATTTGAAAATGGAAAAAGGAAGTAAAAGCTCAACAAAAAAAAAAAAAAAAAAAAAAAAAAAAAAAAAAAAAAAAAAAAAAAAAAAAAAAAAAAAAAAAAAAAGCTCAACGGCCCATGACCAGGATCGAACCCGTCCAGTCAAGCTGCCGTCTACGAAAACCCACGATTTTCTGGCTCCACGCGCCTACCACGTCTGCTACTGGGAGTTGTTGGAAGGTCTGACCTGCGGGCTTATATGGTCCAAGGTCCCAAGCTGCTGTCGGGTGCTCTGGGGCAGGTGCTGGTTAGATGTACGATGCGCACGCAGTCTGGTGAGGTCACGTCCGTTGGGTATAATACTTTCAGTCCGTTCTTGATGGTGTTGTGGTTTAATTCACTTGGATGGTCATTTCATTTAGACAGGTTCCTGACCAGTGCTGGTATAGAACGCTACAAGTTGATACTATGGGTCCTATTCGTGAATGCTTAGTCTCATCCTGTCTTCAAGCGGCTTCTCCTTGGGTGCTTCTCGGTCTCATGTTCTAGGGTTAACAAACTGCAATGCAAATTCTTCGCAGTTGTTCTTGTTGATGTTGCTGACGAAGTATACGATCCTAAATCAGACACGCCACCCAACTCACCATGACCTCCAACCAGTTTTGTTACCCCTCAACCCGTAATCCAGGGTTATAAAAACTCCTGATATTGCACCGCCCACCGTATAATGGGGTGAAATAAGTAAAAGAAAACAGAACCAAAGACACACTTTACGCCATGCTAGCAAGACAAACCAACAATAACAAGCAAAAGCAACGGACGCCGCGGATTTCCACCTCGTTACCAGACTGAATAGATCAAAACCACATAGTACCACCTCACAGATGAGGTTACGCCCTTGCCGTTTGCGAGTTCTGACTGGGCAGTCAGGCACCGGGCCGAGCAACTCGCTGAGATGAGTTGGTGGCAGTAGCCAGACGAAGCTCTGAGGTCGTGCGCCTGGTTTGCCCCGCTGTTGTACCATACTGAAAGTGCCTTGTCCGTAGCTGAGAGTTGCCGAAAAGAGGCCCGAAGTGTGTCCCCATCCGTGACTGTAGCACATCTCGATAAATAGTCGGGACCTCGTGCCATCGACCTTCACGGGCAGCGGCGAGGATACGAGGCGCAGAAAGCTCGCTATTTGTGGTATCGGAGTGGCGTGGTAGTTGACCGGTCTCGATAGCATTCTTCAGCCACTCCTCGTCCAATGGTGCAGCAAGGATGTTATTCGAAACGACGCTTTGGTACCCGAATGCCGCGGGTACGGTCAGTGCTGAGTAGATCTCGTCTTCGTCACTCATGGCCTCGTCCTCGTCCTCGTTCATGACCTCGTCTTCGTCTTCCTCTACAGCCTCCGGCGCAGCTTCCACATGAAGCTCAGAGCCAAATTCAGGCTCAATCCTGACCCTGTCCCGAGGATAGGTTAAGTCAGGAAAGCCGTCGGCCGCGGTGTCTCGGATGACAATCCCCTGCTCCTCTTCGTACTTCTCCTTGGCCCATCTTGTGCCCTCCCACTTTGTCAGATTGGCGATCTCCCATTCGGTCAAACGGAGAGCATCGAAGGCGCGGAAGAGCCGACGGTGCCATTGCCAGCGACTTAGGCGAATGCGGTGAATAGGGTGGTTGTAGTCGAGGCCGGGATACTTCGCTTCTTGGGTGTCGATATGACCGTAATACGAGTGTACCTCTTGTCGAACCTCGTAAATCAGATGCCTTGAGAGAAAAACGGCAAAGTTCGGGGGGTCCGATGGTCGGGCCTTTGGGAACATGTACCCATAGATAAGGTCCTCGATCGGAGGCTGTTTCATCTTGGGCTGACTTGGAAGATCCTTTCTGATCCTGCCAGGGGATGTATTGTTGTGATGTTCGTAATTATAGGAGGTTGATGCTTGAGCTACCTATGCTGTGAAGTGGTTTAGTCAACTTGATTCTGATGTGATACTGGTGGTGAGGTGTCGGTTCAGTGATTTGGGGGAAGAAGACAAAGCGGACTGGACTCTGAGCGAAGAAATTGGAAAGTGGCGGTAGTGAAAGCGGATATGGTGTGACGGACCGGAGAAGCCGCATGGGTCAAGATTAGGGAGGCTCTGAGGACGTGGGATGGAATGTGGTTGCCAAGTAATCCGAACTGGCACATGTAACTTGATATAAGTCAGGTACGTACATTGGCTGGACAATGGGCAGGTGCCTGCAGGGTCTCGTCTTGTGACTTTTGTCCGACTTCCCAAGTGAACTTTCAGGTTTTCCGGATGAACTGGATCGTTTGTGCCGCAAGACGGTCATATGGGGAGCAAAAATGCAAAAGGAAAGGAAGGGAGCAATAAGTGAAGTGGCATGAGAGGGAGGACAGGGCAAATATTAATAACAGTCCCCGAACGGCACCCAAAGAAAGAAGACCGGAATGGCGACCGGCAGACCCCCGGATCCATGCCGTGCCTACATTGCAAGGTAATAATGAATAGTACAGTATGGGCGACCGGCGAATGCGGCCTCGAATGAGTGAGCAATGAGAGGTGGTGGAAGGAGAGAGTGGGAGTGGCCCATGAAAAAGGCCCAGTCTCGTACTTGCCCATCAGTCGAGAAACCCGAGAGAAAGAGAAGGTGTGATGTGGATGTCTACAACCAAAGAGGTACATAGAGATCCCTGCTCATGGCCCAAAGGATCACCAAAAGGAAAGCCACTCAGGACAAAGGGGATAGGCGACAATTTTTATGTGTCCACGGCATTAATGAATGTGTAGTCGGGCAAAGGCTCCTTGTTATTATATATCGCCGCCAACAGTCAGCATATTGGACTGAAAAGTACCTGCCTCTGGAGGAATACTTTGAAGAAGCGACGAACTCGAGGCTCCTGCCGTGGGTGACTGTGGATCTCTACGACCAGCGGTCGGGAGTTGCATCCAGGGATTTGCATGAATGGACGGCAGGGGGCAGTTGGCTGGATGGGATAAAAAGTGGAGACTCGCCCTGTTTGACTGATGGCGCACGACTGCTTGATGTACTGTTTGGACGAACCCAATCGAATTTACGAACTTCAACCAACACAGTCACTGGCATCAAGACCTCATGGATACCGCCAGCACTCACGACATCGGGCATAACCTGTACAGAGATGAAATATGACTTCAGATTCCACGCTGGTAAGCTAGCCACTCTATCTGCTATCCATCACACTGCCTGTACATGCCCTGGCCATCCATGATGTTCAGACTGGACGATAGAGATGATAAATGATGGATGCGGCACAACGGCTTTCGACCCTTGACGAGTGCCCGGAATTTCCACGGAAGCAACGCGGCAACAACAGCGGCAGACCGACCGAAACCACTCCTTCAGTCCCAGGCTGCCACGATACCGAAGCAATTGGCTGGTTTGCTGGTCAGCGGTTGATTTGGTAGTTGGCTTCCGACCTCGAGGAAATCTTACTTATCAAAGCCCGCTTCCGCATCCTAACGACTCATCAACTCCCGTCATCGTCATCAACTGTCCTATCGATCTCTTCCTTAGACGCCGAACGCGCCGGACACTTTCAAGCAAAGAAAGAAGGCCCAGGGAGCAAGCGCTTTATGACCATCATATACCGGCCCGGGTACTGGCATGGTCGACATCACCAACCCAGGCAACCGAAAGCGGAAGCGGCAAGTCTTGTTGGTTGAGATGGTTGTTGGTACCACTCGTCGAAATAATGTGAACAAGGTCGCACATTTCCCCGTATGTTGGGTTTGTTCAACATGCTCTTGTGACATGCGGGCATTACGGGCGCAATATGTTGCACTGTCTTTACACCAGTTGGCCCTATTCACCCTAGATCGTCGACGGTTGCGATACAAGTGGTGGACAAAGGTCAGGAATGGACAACCCGATTCACCCCAAACATGGTTCCTCTGGGCAAACAAGGCACCTTGATCTGCCCTGGCCAGAGCATTCACAAGAACACGCACTTGTTGGCTTGGTGGCTTTACCGATTTTACTCGGTTTGCTGTTCCACAAACCACACAAGAAACATATGTCGGGATCACATCCAAGCCATGGTGATGGGATCACGCTATTTACTTTGAGAGCCAACAGACCGTTCCTTCCCGGGGAATCGGAGGATTCTAGGACAACGCCGCTCAATCAGCCCCAAGATACCGGATGTTGGGACGTGAGACGGATCTTGCTAGGCGCCTCTACGACTAACCCCGCCATCACTCCCATGAACCACCAACACGGCGCTTCCCGACCTAAACCACCAAGATATTCGGATATACATGGACAGTGCACAGTCAAGACCTCTTTCACGGAGCGATGAGTACGCAGTACGTACACCAGGGAGCTCTTCGGCTGTTCCTATCAAGTGAGGACCACTAATGGCAGTCATCCCAACGGCTTGTTACCCCCAGTCATTCCGTGGCAATCAGTCTCACCTAAAATCCGAAGAAAGTATTTGTCAACGTGTGTAGCCAAACCTCCAGTTCTCTCGTCGTAGTACCGTTCGTGATGATCTGGCATCTCGCCATCGCCCTAGCTCGACCTTGTTCATCCCTTTCTCCAAGCGAATAGGCATCAATTTACTGGAATTGGTCATGCATTATACGGCCAGGCGGCCATATCTTGCGACCCTCCCCCGTGGCAGCATCATCTCCTCACATCTTCGTCTTTACCATCATTTATGAGCATAAAACAGACAGTTAGTCACTTACACATCTGCAGCTGCCCGGCGGCCACAACCCAAACCAAACCTGCTGGCGAGGGCAAGTCGCGCCGCCGTCCACTGGCTGCGATTGATTCTTGTTCTAAGCAGTTCGGTACCCGACCGGCCACCGTTACCGTGACCGCTTTCCTCCCCCCCTCCTCTCCTTCCATTCGATTTCTTTGGTTGGGCGTTCTTTACCTAGCCCAACGGCCGGAACGGAAGGGCAACAACCATTCTAGGCGACGCCCAATATTGTCCAACCATCGTGGATTATCTATTTGGTTCAGTTTATAACCTCCGTCATGTGTTCACATGTTGAGGTCATCTTTTCGTCTACTCCCTTGTTTTCCAGCGGAACGACCTAAATCTCCCATTGATCGCGACTCACGATACAAGAACTCCAAAGCGATTTTTCGCTCTGCTTTACCTCCTCCAAGTTCTGTCACCCACACTGCCACACACGCACGAGAAGGCGCCAGAGTCCGGCGGTCGCATGCCCGTAGGTTCTCATCCGCTCCGGCCTGGTCATCTCAGGTCAGACCAGGCCGGGACGAAAGCGACCGGCATTGTTTCTATGCACACGTGACTCTTCGTTTCCGTTCATTCGTCTGTCTCTCTGTCTGTTTGTGTACTCTCCCTTTCTCCTTCGGAAATCTTGCTGCCTAACTGATGTGGTCTTTGATTCCTTATTTGCGCCAAACGTATCCGAACTTAAGAGTCCCGTCGTTGTTAGCAGGAACTAGAACAAAAAGAAGAAAGAAAGGACAATTGAGTGACAAAATGGCGAACAGAGAGCCTTGTAAGCCTCAAAGGATCGATATCAGGAATTTAGGATCGGATGCGACCAACTGACATAACCACCACTGCCACCACCAACAATAACACCAATATAAGCACCAACACAACCGCCACTAACGCCAGTAGGTATTTGTTGATCAATGCGTCTTTCTTTGTTTCCCTTCTCTTCGAATGCGTTTCCATTGCCATGTAAATATTTTTATACTTACCATGAAAACGAAAACTTGAAGGTAGGATGTGGCATTTATACATGGCCGCAAGAAACGGCAGGTAAGTAGACCGGCTAGACAAACAGGCAGTTTTGTTTTTGAAAAAAGAAACTATACACAGGAAGTAGAATGGTCTTTAAGATGGGTGAGGTTGGTGGTGCTGGTATCCAAAACGTGAACGACATTCTGTTAATGACGAAGACGACGTGGAAACGGGGTGTTTTAACGAAGCTCAAACTTTGACTCGCTAATTTGAAAGAAAGAAGAGATAAATCTATCATACACCCGAATAATCGAATTAGGTCGACAGTAAAAACCATCTGCCAGCCATGTAGGTATTTCCCATTCGTATCCACAGACCTAACCTTCCACCTGAATATCCTGTCCATCCCATTATTACATCTCCTACCCCGTCACGCATCCTGTGATATTCAATCCATATCATGTATCCAAAAATCCAACCCCCTTGTTTAGACTTGGAAAACCAACGACCCAAGTCCAAGCCCCTCTTCCAGAGCCCTCTTAGGCCGACATCAAAACGATGCTGCCACCTATCACCTATACGGCGGACTAGACAACCTCTCCCTATGCAACGGACGTTCCCTCGAGCGCATATCATCTCTCGACCCCCACCTTCCCTCCCTATCCCTAGGATCCCTATCCCTATCGCGTTCCCTGTCTCTAGAGTCTCTATACCGATCCTGGGTATCTACTCTACCACTGAGCATCGACCCCCCGCTGCCACCTGTCCAATCACGCCTATCAGCAATGTCCGCCCGACTGCCCGTCCGCCTCTCGAGGTCGGCTTGCTGCGCCAGGTACGGACCGCTGGCTGTTCGTGCCCCCCCTGGGGCCCGGCCGCTGCGGCTGCTGTGCGGTGAGTGTGACAGGTCGAGACCGTCGTCGTCATCGTCGCGGTCCGTGTGCCGCTCGCGATGCTCACGGTCTCGGCGGAGGGTGCCCGTGGAGATGCCACGGCTTCTTTCTCGGTCTCGGTCCCTTCGTGAAGTAGGTTCAAGCTCGTCGCTGTCTAGGTCGCGGTAACGGTCTCTGTCTCTGTCTCTGTCTCTGGTGCTTCGGTCTCGAACCCGATCTCTGTCTCTGTCGCGGTCGCGAGACTTCATCCGGATATCCCTCTCCCTCTCTCTGTCGATGTCCCGTTGGTCTAGTACCCTGCTCTCCTTGCTCAATCTCTTTGCCCGTCGCCGCCGCTCGACGTCGTCCTCCGACTCGGAGAGATCCGATTCATCATCGGAATACGACTTGCGTCTGGAGTCACGGTATAGCTCCCTTGCGGCTCTGTCGGGTCCAGTTGCCCGGTCGTCTTTCTGACTCCTGGACCGGCTTCGTCTGTCGTCGCCGACGATGGAGACGCCCGGGAAAAGATTGGAGATCTTGTCCTTGATGCCGGAGCCTATGCTCTTCCTCTTGGAGTCGTCGGCCCTCAGTGATGAGGCCGTTGCCGGGACAACCGTTATCGGAGGCTCCCTGCGCGAGTAACCGTGGGATCGTGGTGAGATGCTGCGCCCGCCCATGGCGGCCGCCCGAGAGGAGGGGACACCGTCGGAGTTGAAGACGCGGTGGGTTGTTACCGGGGGTGGCTCCCGGGAGTCTCGGCTGCTCCGGCTGTGGTGGCGCCTTCCTGATCTCGAGGTTGCTGGTTCGACTTCTGCATCGGATGAGGATGGGCTGGTGTAGTGGCGGGGTTGGCTGTGACGGCGAGGAACGGAAATTCGGTCAGTGCGAAGTGGGATCTGCATTGACTGAGTCTCCTGAGGAATTATATGCGGGTAGTCAGTAAAGCTGGGGCGTCGGCTCGTACGCTCTTCCTCTGGCGGGAAGACCTCCCGTGGCGGAGCATAGCGGCTTCGGCCAATATGGTCGAGAGGGTCTGGATCGAGATCACTGGCCCTCTCACGCTCCGGTTCCCTAGGCCGCTCGGGGGATCTCCGAGGATCATACCGGTCTGTCCGTTCCGGAGGACGAACGTAAGAGACAGGGACAGGACCAGAGCGTGTGTTGAAGTAATCATAATCCTGCGGTACGGACGGTTTGGGGCGGACGTGTGAGAATGGAACCTTTGCATCGGAGAAATCATCCGCTTTGGGGTCTGCGCTGGGCGCATCTCTTTCCTCCTTCGGTTCCTCCTTGGTTGTCGCCTCAACGCGAAGTTTGGTCGCACAACTTTGGTGCCACCGGTCGGTATCTTGATCGGTATCAACGGGGAAAACTGTGGCCGGCAAGTCATCCGGAAACACAGCCCCAAATTCAGGATGCTTCAGGGACCAATTCTTGACCGCAAACTGAACGATCGGGACGTGAACTTGTGGCTCTAGCAGGATCTGAATTGCCTGCCACCTCGCAAAGCCTTTGACCGTAAGTGCCGGAATCGAAGGGGCCGCAAAGTCGTCCTCGGTGGGCAAAAGCATATGTTGACATCCTTGAACTTGGTAGATGAAGGAGATGGACTGAGGCGGCATGTTCACAAACAGCCCTGCGTTGTCGTGGTCAGCACAAAGGGGGCGCTACTGAGGTGTCATGTCTTGACTCACTATCATAGTCATGGCCTGCAAGCTTGTAAAAAGCTGCCATCTTGGCAGGAGCTAAATGCTTCTCATCTTTATCTCCAATGTCATTGATCTGCTTTAGGTTAGCGGTGAAGTACAGGGCCGATTTGAAGGCGGAATAACATACAATGTGCAAAGCAAGAGCTCTCAGAAGGGCGTCAAGCAACGGCTTTGGTTTTGGTATCGGGATTTCGTCTGGTTTCGGGTCATCATACATGTAGCCGTAGAAGATCTCCTTGATCTTCCCATTTGTCTCGGTTGTCGGAGAAGCCATGGTGATGATGTCTGCCTCATGCCACCTTCAATCATAGGATAGAGGAGTCAAGGTTGGCCGTAGTCAAGGCAAACGAGGCGACTTCGATGCTCTTGTCGTCCTTGATGCGCACACCGTCAGAGGTGAGTGGCCTAATGGCAGGTAGAGAATTACGGCAGTAAAGAGCCGATGTAACAGAGTCTGAAGCTGTTGGGTCCCAGTTTATGGCCAGGCTGATGCGGGTGCGCAGATATAAGGTAATCGCACATATAGTATGACGGAGAGCCTGAGTAACGTGAGCCTGAGTGTTTTCTTGGGAAGCTGCATAAAATGACTGAGGCAGAGTGGCTCGACAACTTGTTCGTGGCTCCCGAAACGCAGACACTGGGGTAGAAAAATCGAATGGCCCAATTCCTATAGGCGAGAGAGATTAGGTAGGTCGGGCAACGACTGCAACAGCCTTGCGGTGGAATGTAGTAAGAAGTTGCACGTTAAGTGAAGAAGGGACTGCCAGTCGGGTTAGGTATCAGTCGAACAACCGGGGGGGCTCAACCACTGACAGGCACAACGGCTTGCTTCTCGTTTGAGGTTTAGCAACGCCGCAAGACACAGGTCAGAACAGAATACAGCCAACGAAAAGTGTTGGAAGCAAAAAGTCTCCAGAGACGATGCTTCGAGAAAAGGGGGAGGGATGGATAGTCGGAAAGACGTCCACTCGATTCGACTTGGCGAGAGGGTGTGTGGTTGCTTTTGACTGGAACGGCGGATGCAGAAAGATGAGGGCAGCAGCAATATGTGAGCAGCAAGAAGGGTAGCGAGCTAGTAAGAAGCTGGTGATAGGCAGGTCTTGACAGGCTGACGGGTGAACGCTGGACACGTGCACCCCGCCGTTCTCAGATCAACTGTGCTCTGTGAGGTGACAGTGGTGCTTGTCTGTTTCCAAGCCTCCAATGGCAGCTCCCAGGGACCAGGCAGAATCCGGTTCTCAAGATTCTCGAAGTGAGAAGGACACCTTAGAACCCTCTTGATTCCACCACGCCCCGAGACCCTGCGTTTGATGCGAAATGAAAAAATATGGTTTGCCAGCCTCCCTGAAGATCTTGCGCGTCCAACTTTGGCCAAGGCATCACGGTGCTGAACAAGGCGAAGCGATCAGCTTACCCATCGGGAATCGACAATTCTCGGAGAAGAGCCGAGACAGGTGGGACAGGAACCTCCACTGCTCGAATAGTGCCCCATCATCGATGATGCACAGAGTTACGTCAGGCAGCCTGGCCTTGTGTCAGAGGCCAGGGGATCCACTGGGCGTGCACGTGCCCAGTTGGGCTGGGATATACGGGATATCCAGATGCCAGAGCTTCGAGTCTGCAGAGCCAGTCTTACACATATACACACAATCAAGCCACGTTTAACTCTATATTGATTATTAATAGTAATATTACAATTAAGAGTTTTATTAATTCGACCATTAAAATTATCGCTAACAACGATAACCGATTAAATATCATGGGGTGAGGCACTGTTGGGTATGGGATAAGATATGCGTTGTTGTGCGGAGGAGAGGAAAGGAAGGTGTGCGTGGAGGACTGGCTATATAGGCGAGAGCCCTGGCAGGCTAGTCCGTGTACGCGCATATGTGCAGCTGTACATGATTGCTGTATATGTGGCTAGTACGTATATAGCTCTAGGCTATGGCACTAGCTCTGGGTATGGTATATGAGGTAGTTAATATAGTGTAAGAATGTTATAGGCTAGTCCTATGATACTATCCACCCTTAAATTTTTTTTTAATAATTTCTAGTCTATATATATATAATAATAATATTCTAAATTATTTATCTTAAACTCTCCTCCTCTAATATTTTATTATAATCTACGAACTCCGCCTTCAGTATTCAACCGGACTAAATATTTATTAATTATTTTGCTATCTTTACGAATGCTATTTCTAATTCCTATTCTTTATATACTGTAAATTTGTTCTCTAGTTTTATTATAATTGTAATTGTATTAGATAATAGCTATATAATATCGATAACGGCGGCAGCGGTCTTATATTGGGCTATGTAGGTGGACCGGTATTTTAGGAGTACTAGTAGTTTTAGAGCGGCAGCGGGCGTTAAAACGGCAACGGTAGGTATTAGAGCTCGTTTAACTAATATAATCTCGACGTCCGGCAATATAAATTTATCAGGGAATTTATTATAGAAATATTAGAATATTTCTTTATAGTTAATAACATTATCCTTGGGTTCCTAGGTCGGTTAGTTATTACCTTTCTACTTAATACAGTAATACTAATAATAATTACCACTAAATTAAGTGTAATCGATAAACCTTTTAAAATCCTATTCTTCTTATTCCTTATAATTGTCCGTTCTAATTATTATACGACCGTTATTTACCTTTATATCCAATAATATATTTTAGCTGAATAGACCTCTACTAATCTATAATTATACTATAGAGACGTAAAAGACCGGTAAATATTTTATATTAATTGGGAGCCTGAAGTATATTATATAATTTTCCGCCCGGGTAATATAAAAAGGGCCCTCCTATTATAAATAGAACTTTAAATATAATTGGCTATTAACAAGGTTTATCGTATTAAATAGAACTATATTATTAAAATAATATTTAGGAGAGTCGATATATTTCTTATTAACATTATGTTTATATTACTCCTATATCCGCCAGGTTTATTATATTATAAAGTACTAGATCTTCTAGAAGCGGTCTGCTAATTCGATAACTTTATAGTATTCCTTTAACTAAGTTAGGGAGAAATTTAGGAGTAATAAAGTACGAAGTTCGGTACCTATCTATAAATAGTAACTGTAATTAGCGAAAAAAAGTGAAACGCCTATCGACGATAATATAACGTTATTTTTAACGAATTCTACCATTAATAACTATTTTACCTAATTTATTTATATTTAATTAATATAAAATTATAAGAATTATTTTATTTCCGCGTTAATACGCTTTATTTTAGTATTAATTTAGGGGTAGAACGTTAAAATTATTTTACGGATAATAGATAATCTTTTATAAAGGATAAATTAAAAACGCAATATAAATTAGGTATCTCCATTAGATAAAACGCTATCCAGTAGACTATAAATCGAATAAATTTAATCAATAAAATGATTTATAAATTCCTCCGGTTCTAAAGTTACTATAAGTATATAATACTGCATTTTAATTAATTAGTTAACGACGACGGCAATATATTTAAAAATTTAACCAAAATAAGTATTTTCTAATAGTAAAGTAATATAATTAATAAATATACCCTTTTATAGTGCTAGAAAGACAGTTACAAATTTAAAATATCCGGCTAAACTCCGCTTTAACGATTTTATTTTTGCGTAAAGGAAATAATTTTTATAGAAAGTCTTTACGTTATTATATATTCCCTCCTAATAAAATTCGTATTATAAGAATTTATATATAATATTATAATTGGGGTAGTTTATACTAGGAGAATCATATTAGCGGTTGATTAGTTGGAATTAGAATTGTTTATTATAGGGGTTAATAATTACTCTATTCTACTATTTCATAATACTATTTACAGTATAATATTCCGAAAAAATGTAGTAAAAACCCTTTTTAATAGTCGGTAATTATTAGTACTGTATTTTATCCGTTAAATAAAAAACGAATTCTTATAAGAAAATGGATATTTTATAATTAACGTAAATTAGATTATTGGTAGATTTATTATCGAAGTCGTTTACTCTTAATAAGTAGAGGGAGAAATCTACTACGGGGTCCTCTTTAAAAAAATAGCCGTTTTCGAATTACGCGGGGTTTAAAAGCGGGCGTTTTCTAACCGTAAATCTATTATCTTCCGTATTATTTAGGTAGTTATTTAGTTTGTAGCTTAGTACGTCCGGATGGAGGTTTTTAGAACTTAGTATATATTTAATTAAAAAATTGAAATAGGATAGGAATTAGGACTACTATATATAGCGCTAGGTAAAGTATGTATTAATTATAAAAGTCTATAGATTTTTATAGTCTATTAAAATATTAAAAGGTTATTAGGCGCCTTCAAACTTTAGCCTCTATTCTTCTAATATTTTAATAATAGCGAAGAGTTCCTTATTATAAATATTATAATTATACTCCTACGAAATATATTTACTTAAAAAGTAAGCAATTAAATATAATATTCTATTGTCCCTATATTAAAATAGGGTACTTCCTATAGCCTAATTAGACGCGTCTATTTCAAGTATTATTTTTTTAATTTAATTGTAAATCTTTCGCCGCTTACTTAATAACGGCTTTAATTTTCTTTAAATCTATTTCGATACTTCCTGGGGTAATGATTAAATTTAAATACTTCGTTCGTATAGTATAATTCGTATTTATTGATATTAATATTAAAGCGCGCCCGAACTAAGCGGGTAAAAATATTATTAATATATTATTCGTAATTTTTAATATTATTTAAATAAATAAGAATATTATCAAAGTAAGTAAATACGTTAACGTCGAAGATATTATATAAAATATTATTAATATAATTTTAAACAGTACCCGGCGCGCCTTATAAATTGAATAGTATAATTAGGGATTCGAAAAGGCTAAACTATGTAATAAAAATAGTTAATTATTTATAGTTTTATTTAATATAAATGCAATTAAAAGTAATAATAACGTCGAATTTAGTAAGAATTTTAACCTAGTAAATAGCGTTGAAGGTTTCCTTAATTAATAATAATAGGTAGTAGGACTTTAAAGTTATATTATTAATACTTCTATAATTAATATAAATATAGACCCCGCTTCTTAGCTTCTTAACGAATAGGATTGGAGAAGAGGCTTTAAGTTAGGATAGCTGGATAAATTTTTTAATTAAATTATTATCAATCTATTTTTAATAACGTTTAATTCGTTGGGGTTAAATAAGCGGCTTCGAACTATTAACGGGGTAGCTCTAAGGCGGAGTTTGATTTTAAAATTGTAGGAGTGTATTAGGGGTAGTATTTTAGCGCCTTCCTATT